AGGATTACAGGCCTGAGCTACCACGCCCAGCCCTGGCCTTTTTTTAATGTTTAACTTTTCCTTTTTTGTTGTCTAATCATCCTCAGCGGCCTTCTGCTGCTTGGTATCAACATCGTCGTCATCATCATCTTCAGCTGCCCATTTGTCCATTGTGCCTCAGCTGCCTTGTTTTCAACTCTGTTCTTTTCCTCACCATCACCTTCCTCCTCCTCCTCTTTCTCCCCACCTTGTTCCTCTATCTTCATGTACCTCAGTCTCCTGCTCCCCATTTTCCTCATTAGCATTCCCATTAGCATGGGCATCTCTTCCACTTTCTGCCTCCTCCACAGCTTCTCCTTGAAGTCCTTGGTGGTGATCGCGGAGCTGGTGTCTGACGTGGTGGGGCACGCCAGTGATCCGGTGCAAGGGATTAAGAAGAAAGCAAGAGTTCAGGGACTCCGTCGATTAAGCTGCCAGAGTCTGAGGTGGCAGAGGATGTGCACGGCGGAGGTGGCTGTGGTGAGCAGGACATCAAACCAGGAACAATGCAAAGATGGGTTTTTAGAACAGCCAGCTGGGGGTCCTCACTTAAAGAGGGCCCAAGGGGCAGCTTCTCTATCTATAATCTTTCTATGGCAATGCATCCTGTCTCTTTGCTTTAAATACCAGATGTCTGCTGAAAACTCTCTTCCCCAAACTTCCTCCCTGATCTCCAAGGAAGTATCCAACTGTCTACTCAACCTGGACATATCACAGACATCACCAACTGACATATTAAAAATGTACTCCTAATATTTTCCCCCAAAGCTGATCTAACTGCCTTCGCAGTTAAAGCAACTTCATCCTTCCAGCTGCTCAGGCTTTGGGGTTGTCCTAAAGTCCTCTTTCTCCACATCCAGTCTATCAGGAAATCTTACTTGTTTACCTTCAAAATATTTAAAATGTGACCACTCTTTACCATCACTACTGCTACCACCTTGGTCTGAGCCACCACCATTTTTCAACAACAGTGTTGCTGCCTCATTAGTCTACTTGCCTCTACTCTTGCTCCCTTATTGCCTGTTCTTTTTTTTTTTTTTTTTTTTTTT